AGGATAGACTTAAGGTCTAATATTGGTTTCTGTGGATTTTTATTTTCTTCAACTTCAGCTTGAACTTGGATATGAGTAGTTGGTGGTCTGTTTCTCAATCAGCATCTGGCCTGGTTTACACAGCTGATACTGAGCTTCTCCAGTGATTCTTTCCACAACTGTAATATATTTTATTACTATGCATACCATCAGGTAAAATCCATGTGTATAGCCTGTGTTTGTATTTCTTATAAAAGGTATTTGCAGTGAATAAACATTGAATGTGCAAAATTTTATCATTGTAAGTCCATGTTTTCCAGCTACTGATCCTTCTTCCCTGTTCCCAACTTTGCATTCCAGTTGCCCATTATTATCTTGATTGCATGTTCGATTGATTTCTGACTGCAAAGGTTGGTAGAAATCTTCTATGTCCTCCTCTTTGGCCCTCGTTGTTGGTGCATATATTTGAATGATAATGGTACTTCCTTGTATGCGTATGGATATTATCCTCTCACTCACCACATTGTATTTCATGATGGATCTAGAAATTAGTTTTTTAATTAGGAAACCAACCCCATTTTTTCTCACCTTTTCATCCCCAGCATAGTAGATCATATTATCATCTGATTAAAAATGTTCCATGTCAAGCCATCTTACTTCACCAATACCTAGTATGTCAGTGTTTATGAGTTCCATTTCCTTCTTAACAATGTCCAATTTTCCTACATTCATGCTTCTCACATTCTACGTTCCAGTCACTAGTGTCAGCTTATACCTGTTCCTCCTCCTTTGCATTTCCTCATCTGAGATCTCAGCCTCAATTGCCATGTCTGCTAGTCTAAGTGCTAGTCTAAGTGTGCTATATTGTATATAGGGTTTCCTAAGTCCTGTTATTTTTGGAAGTGGATAGCCAGTCCTTCCTAGTCTGTCTTAATTTTTTTCTTCTTAATAATAGTTTTAACTACTAGTTATATATCCGAAAGAAACAAGAACTTCAACACAGACTTATATCGATGTTCTAATGTTTATTACAATATTACTTACAATAACAAAGAACTGGAAACAACTAATGTCTATTGAATGATAAATGAATCAAGTAACTTATGATACAGTCATACAATAGAATACTATGCATCACTTCAAAAAGTATCAAGAATTGGTAAAACATTGTACAACATCGAGGTATCTTAGAACGAATTGTGCTAAGGGTCATAAGTCAGTCACAAAAGGGCAGTTAAGGTATGTTGTTACATGTTGTCAGATTGGCTCTTACACATAGCATCCCTGTCAATAACAGCACTGAACACTTCCTATCATGAGTCAACCTCACCATCTCTAACTCACCTAATCCCATTGCCACAGTCATAATCCCATTGCCACAGTCACTGTGTCATGGTATCTCATCCAGGGTCATCTTAGTCTGCACTGACCCTCTACCATTGCAAGCATGATGATCTTCTCCAAGGACTGGTCCTTTCTGACAACATGCCCAAATTATGTGATATAGAGTTTCAAACCAGGAAGCAACCTGTTTTCACCCTCCCTAACATACCTGTTTGTGTTCTTGGTAGTCTATGATAGTCCAAGAGTTCAATACTTTTTCTAGCACCACTACTCAAAGGTATTGATTCTTCTTCTGTAATTCTTAGCTATTATCCAGCCCTCTGAAGTATAGCAAGCAGTTGAGAAGACCATGCATGGCCTGGATCACTAGATTGACATCGTTGCTCTTTAGCACTCTAGAGAGGTCCTTGACAGCAGATTTTTCCAGTGTATACTCATCTCTTCTTTCTTGACTGCTAGTACCAAAGGTGTTGATTGTGGATCAAAGCAATAGTTTCTCCATTGATCATGATGCTGCATATTGGCCCAGTGATAAGGGTCTTTGTTTTCTGTTGTTCTGTTGCAATCTATATTGAAGGCTTTTGTCCTTGACCCTCTGCAGTAAATGCTTCAAGTCCTCAGTTTCAGAGAGCAAGGTTGTGTCATCCTCGTTATGCAGGTTGTTTTTTAAGTCTTCCTCCAATCTTGATGCCACATTCTTTATAAAGCCCAGCCTCTGAAATGATCTGTTCAGTGTATAAATTGAAAAGTGTTGGGGGCGGGGGGGAGAAAAACATGTGGAGAAAGGATATATCCCTGATGCACTCCTTTCTTCATTTCAGTGTTCCATTGCTTTGTTTGGACAGCAGTATTATGATATGTGTTTTGCATGAGCACAATCAAATATTCTGGGATTCCCACTCTTCAGAGTGTTAACCACAAGTTGTAATCCACAAATAAAATGCCTTTAGGTAGTTGATGAAATCCAAATAGACCATCCAAATAGACGTCCATCTGGTTCTGTTTTCAGGCAAGATCCATCTGACATCAGCAATGATATCCCTAATGCCACAGCCTCTTTTAAACCCAGTTTGCGTTTCTGGCAGTTCTTTGTCGGTATACAATCACAATTCTAAAAAAGTGAAGGAAGGATTTACACACAGGATCATTCTTAGATAGTCCTACTTGGTATTGAAAGAGAGGAAAAGGGAAGAAAAAGAAATTAGTAAATATGTTGAGAGAAGAGAAAAAAGCATACAGTAAAATGTAATTTATTACATTTATCAATAATAACTGACACTATAAAACAAAATGTGTATCAATGATATACTTTGAAATAAAAAAAAAGTTTAGTCTGCTGCACTTTCTTTCCTAAAGCATGTCTTAAGCTTAATCACTAGTATTCACATTACATTTCCAATACTCTCATTTTTCCTAGAAGTATTTCTCCAGACTTTCTCAGTGTGGGAAACTTCACCTTCATGCTAAGTTCTTTCCAAAGACATTACAGCCTCTACATGGAGGGTCACTACAAATAGGAATCTTCCTTGGGATATTAGATGTGAGCAACGCCAAAAAAGGTTTACCTTCTCTCACCATAAGCTTTCTCATTAGATAAATGTGAAATTTTTCTTTTATATTGTGTGATTGTTCATACCTCAGGGACCGCCATTATTTCTGTTAATGATCACTGCTAAAAAGAAATAATTTTCTACATCTAAAATTAGTATTTTGATACAGTTCCTTTTGGACATTTTTCCTGTGATTTCATAGACTTTTTCAGAAATTAGAATCATGCTGTCAATGCAATTTTCTGTTTTGTCTTTTTGCTTAAAGTTGTTGCTGTTGTGTTCTGTTGAATCGGACTGTCCCATAGCTGCCCTCCTAGTTAATCACACAAGAGGAAATTGCCCAGCTTTCTCCCATGGAGCAGCTGGTAGATTCAAACCATATTTGCAGCGCAGCTTCTTAGTACTAGGCCATCAGAGCCCTTTTTTAATCCTGTTAGGAAAGTTGAGGTGGGGTTGTTGTTTGTTATTTCATTGGGTAGGGTTTCTTTTAAGTAAGTAAGATTTCTTATTTTCTGACTTTTTTCTGTACTTTGTAGAGAATCATTTAATAATCTTAACCCTGCCAATGATAAAAACAACAATCCTGGTTTAAATCGACAATGTCCCTAAGCTACGCTTACTTGTATTCCCTTGTTGAGAGCTTCTTGTTGTTGTTATGGGCCTTCGAGTCGTGTTGCGACTCATAGTGACCCTGTGTACAACAGCCCTAAACTCTGCTCCATCTTGTGCCAATTGCACTGTCTCTGACACTCCCATCCCAATTACCCCAGTCACTGAATCAATCCACCTCATAGAGGGCCTTCCCTCTGTACTGTCCCTCCACCCTCCCAAGCATGATGTCCTTCTCTAAGGACCGGTCTCTCCTCACAACATGTCTAAAGTATGTTAGTCAGAGCTTCAGAATCCTTGCCTCCAAGGGGCCACCCGGTTTAACCCTTTCCAGGATGAATCTGTTTGTTTTCCTAACAGTCCATGGTACTCTCAATACTCTTCTCCACACCACAGCTCAAAGGTATCAATTCTCTTTCTGTCCTCCTTGGTCATTGTCCAACTCTTAGATGCAAGTGATTGGAAAGACCATGCATGGCCTGTATCAGACGCACCTTAGTCTCCAGAGAAACACCATTGCTCTTCATTACTTTGGAGAGGTCCCTAACAGCAGGCCTTCCCATGGCAATGCGCCTTTTAATTTCCTGGCTGCTGGTGCCAAGAGTGTTGACTGTGGAGCCAACCAAACTAAAGCTGTGAACAATCTCAACCTCTTCACCATCCATCCTGATGCTGCCAGTTGGTCCAGTGCTGAGAATCTTTGTCTTCTTGACATTTAGGCTTAATCCATATTGGAGGCTGCCGTCCTTGACCCTCTGCAGCAAGCACTTCAGGTCCTCCTTAGTTTCAGCAAGCAAGGTTGTGTCATCTGCATAACACAGATCGTTGATAGATCTTCCACCAATCTTGACCCCACATTTCTCCTCATAGAGCCCAGCCTCCCGGATAATCTCTCTGCATACAGGTTGAGAAGGTATGGAGATAGGATACATCCCTGGCGTACGCCCTTCCCAATTTTGAACCATGCAGTTTTTCCTTGCTCTGTTCTGATGACTGAGTCTTGGTCCAAGTATAGGTTTTGCATTAGAACGATCAAGTGTTCTGGGATTCCCATTCTTCTCAGAGTCAGCCACAGTTTGATATGATCCACTCAGTCAAACGCCTTTCCTCTGGTATTCCCTGCTTTCAGCTAAGATCCATCTAACATTAGCTACAGGATATCTAGTACCACTACCCCTTCTAGACCCAGCCTGGACTTCTGGCAGTTCTCTGCTGCCATTCGTTTTTGGATAATCTTCAGTATAATCTTGCTTGCAAGTGAAATCAATAATATTGTTCTATAGTTTCCACACTCTGTTGGGTCAGTTTTCTTTGGGATGGGAACAAATATAGATCTCTTCCCAGTTGGCCAAGTGGTTCTTCTCCAGATTTCATGGCACAACTTGGTGAGCACGTCCAGGGCAGCATCTGTTAGCTGAAATATGTCAATTGGTATACCATCTATTCCTGGGGCCTTATTTTTTGTTAGGGTCCTCAAACTTGCTGCTACTGAACGGTTTTTCTTCCTCTTCCTTGCAGGTAGCAATGAAGTAATGAGGATGCTGATCTCTCGAAGCCTGCTTCAGGAGTAGTGCCCAAAGTTGACACTCTGGCATGGTTTCATGTGCAACACAACTCAGCTTTGAGTTGGTCTGTGGATGTTCTGTTACAGATAACTTCTGAATTGAAGGCTAGACTCTTGCAGAGTAAGACTGTTACTTTTCTGTAGACAACAGCTGCTGCTCTAGAAATGGAGACCAGCAGAACTGAAGGAGCTTCCTGATCAGAAATACCACGGAAGAAATTCTGCCAGTGCAAGAAATGACCTATGGAGAATCACTAGAAAAGCAAAGGTCCTTTCTGGGACCCCATGATGTAAATTTGCCTGCATTTTGCAGGTTTACTGTATTCCTCCTCTAGGCATCTTGGTACTTCCATTGAAGGTTTTTCCTAATTATAAAGGAAAATTATAGGAGAGGGGAAACAGAAGAAATGCTTTCCTGTTTTGTATCTTGCTTAAGGTGCAGATTTTTCTAGACAACCCTTCTTTTTTTTTTAATAGCACTCGTCTGAATGTAAATCAAGATATATATTTGGGGAACTTTATTCCCCATAGGGAAGATATTTCTCTACTCTGGATATTGGAAATCAAGGAGCTAAGATTATTTGGAACTTTGCATTTATATAATAATGCTATATGAACAATAAAAATGACTTAATGATAAGAATATTTGTTCTTTTTTGTTTTTATATTTGTGTCATGAAAGAATGATATTCCCATTGCTGTAACTTTCCTGATAACTTTGAGCAATTTTTTTTCCTGTCTGGATATTTGTTGTTGTTTTTTTTTAATTGCTTCACTTTTTAAACATTGGTGGTCCTTAACTTAAAAAAAGATTTTGTTTTGGTGGCTTTGCCATATATATGTTGGTACTGATAAAATCCTTTTTGTAGTTTAGCTTGCTGTATGGCAGTGTTTTGAATAAAACATTGAACATATGAAAATGGTAAATCAGCAAATTATGCACTACAGTATTCTATATAGTACATATTACCAACAATAAGATGTTATCACAAAAGGAAAAAACTGGTTGAGTCACAACTGCAGTGCTTTGCAGCACAATATAAGTTAGCCACTGCCTGTATTTAATCTATATAAGCAAATCTACCTCTCTGTTCTCTCTATTAAAATTTGTTTTATCTTTAGTTGGATAAGAGATTGAGGTTGTTAACAATTATAGCTTGCTCAGCTCCATGGTCAACACTCTTAATTAACACTGGCAGTTAGGAAATCAAAAGAATAATTACATTGGGAAAATCTGCTGTCAGGGACCTCTCCAGAGTACTGAAGACCAATGATGTCAGTCTAGAGACTAAGGTGCGCCTAATCCAGGCCATGTTCTTCACAATTACTTGCTATGAGTCAGAGAGTTGGACAATAACTGAGGATGACAGAAGAATCAATACCTTTGAATCGTGGTGCTGTAGAAAAGTCTTGAATATACCATGGACTGCCAAGAAAATAATTAGATCTGTCTTGGAGAGGGTGAAACCAAGATTCTCATTGGAGGCTAGGATTTTGAAGCTCCATCTCACATAATTTGGGCATGTGGCAAGGAGAGACCAGTCCTTGGATATCATGGTTGAAAGGGTGGAGGGATAGTGCAGGAGAGGAAGACCCTAAATAAGATGTATTGATAGAGTAACTGGGGCAGTGCGGGTTAGTGTGTCAGAATTAGACTGGCTCAGGACAGGGCAGGGCTCAGAGCTACTGTATATAGGGGTCGTTATGGGGACAGAACAATCTTTTATAAGCATTTGTTATAAAAATTTTATTAAACATTTTACTGAATTTTAGAATAATAGTAAAAAAAATTATCTTCTAAAATGTAGGCTCTTTAGCTTTACAATCTCAGCATTTTTCATGGGTTATAAAAAGGGGAATGTTCAAAGATAGTTTTGAAATGACAAGTAATTTGATCTGTAAACTTTCAAATTACAATTTGTTACGTGCCATCAAGTCACTTGCAACTCAGAACGACCCTGTGTACAAGAGTTCTGAACCCTGCTCTATCCTCAACCGTATTGTCTCTGACACACCTGCCCCCATTAACCCAGTCACTAAATCAATTCATCTTATCCAGGGTCTTCCTTTCTTGTGCTGTCACCTCCACCCTCCAACATGATCAAAGTGTCAGACAGAGCTTCAGATTCCTGGCAAAAATTTAAAAATCACACACATATACAAACATAGAGACTTTTTAGAGAACCATGTTATAAATTATAATTCTCTCATCATCTCTACAGAAAAATGCCAGAATTTTCTTTTCACAGTCATTTCTGACTCAAATTTGATTCTCCATCAAATTTCAGAAGCTTTAAGTTTTATAAAAGAAGTTTTCCATTGTTCTCCCAAAGAGAAAAAATACTCGATTTCAACTGCCAGAGACTTGCTTGAAGCCTTTGGGTTAGCCCCGCAACTCACTGTTGCTCAAGTGAGTGGTTAGGGAGACCAAAATATGGGGTAGCTACAGCAAATGATTTGGTTTTGGAATACATGCTCTATGTAATCAACTGTGTTGAGCATTGCAGGGGGAAAGGATATGAGTATACTAAAAGGTTTTCAGACTTTCATTTAATAGTAGAAAGTATAGACAGGTATAGTGCTGGTTACCAGTCCAAGACCTAATACAAGTCTAAAATTTTTCTATCAAACTTTAGATCTGTCAGAGTCTGAGACTATAACTGATTTATCTCTTTATCTTTGGCATCTTCTTGACAAAAATCAAGAACTGGAGTTTTGTTGAACAGTCTTAGAAAAGCTATCATCACCAATGAGAAACTAATTGTAGCTATTAACAAACCACATGCAGAAATGGGCAGGATAAATCATCAGAGGTTGACTATGTGAACATACAGCAGTTTGAATTATGCTGGCAAGCTGCAGGGAATTATGCTGAGTGAAAAGACAATCTCCAAAGTTCACATACTCTGTGACAATTTACATAGATTCATGAAAAATTTGTGGTAGAGATGAAAATTACATGTTGCCAAAGATTGGGAAAGAATTTTTTAAGCAGCAGTCTAAGAGATCCTTATGGCAGAAGAAAGTTCAGCATTTGATTATGATACATCTTGAAACAACAGATGTGATAACACATAGCACAAAATACCTTCTTGGACCACAATGTCATAAAACTAGAAATTAATGACCTATGTGGAAGCTAAATAACACCTTGCTAATACACAATTGGGTTATAGAAAAAATAATTAAAAATTCCTCAAAACAAATTATAATGAAAATACAACATACCAAAACCTCTTGGATACAGCTAATACTGTCCTCGAGGTAGCTCATAGCAATAGGCTATAATAGGAAGAAAGAAGCTAAATTAATCATCTAAATTAACATCTCCATGAAATAGAAAAAGAACAAGCAATCTAACCCCATAACCTCTAGAAGAAAGGAAATTATAAGGACAATAGCTGAAATCAGTTAGATAGAAAACAAAAACAAGTGAAACCATCAACAAGACCAGGAACTGTTTTTTTTAAAGAGTCAATAAAATTGACAGACCATTGGCAAACCTAACAAAAGAAAACACAACTCTATTAAGGAATGGCAGTGGTGACATCACAACAGAAATAGGAAATTAAACCTATAATACTGGAATATTATGAAAAGCTTTACTTGGAAAAATTTGAAAACCTATAGGAAATGGACAAATTCCTTGAAACTCATGCCTTACCCAGATTAATTAGACAGATGGAGAACACTTGAACAGACCCATCAAAAAAAGAATAAATTGAGCAAGTCATAAAAAGACTCACACATACACACAAATCCTAAACCATATGGCTTCATGGCTGAATTCTACCAAACATTTATAGAAGATCTCCAATTCTACTTAAATTATTCAAAAAATAATCAGAGTCATTCTATTAAGCAAGCATAACCCTAATACCAAAACCAGGCAAAGAGATTGTAAAAAAATAAAACCACAGACCAAGATCTCTCATGAACATAGAAGAAAAATCCTTTCCAATGGAATCCAACAGCACATTAAAAAAAAAAAATCATAGCCAAGAGGGATTCATAACAGATAAGCAAACGTGGTTCAACATAAGAAAAACAATCAATGTAATTCATCACATTAACAAAGCAAATAAAAAGCAGCATGTGATCTTAGTAATTGATGCTAGTAAATTTGGTTCTAGCAAATGCAGAAAAGGTACTTGACAAAATCCAACACTCCCTCTTGATTAAAACACACAACAAAATAGGAATAGAAGGGAATTTCCTCAATATAGTTTAAAGTACATTCGCAAAACTAAAAGCCAGAATCATTCTCAATGGAGAAAAACTAAAAGCATTTTCTGATGCCTACTTTCACTACTCTTGTTCAGTGCTGTATTGGAAGTACTTGCTATGGCAGTAAGACAAGGGAAGGAAATAAATCCAAATCAACAAAGGGGTGGTTAAACTGTCACTATATTCCAATGATATGATAGTGTACACAGAAAAGCCCAAGGACTTAAAAAAAATTTTTGGAACTTATTGTTGTTATGTACTATCGAGCCGTTTGCGACTCAGCGACCCTATGTACAAGAGCTCTAAATGCTGTTCTATCCTGTGCCAACCTAGCCATCTCAAACGCACTTATTCCCACCGCTCCAGTCACAGAATTGATCCATCTTATCGAAGGTCTTCCTCTCCTTTGCCTCCCCTCGACTCTGCCAAACATGATGTCCATCTCCAAGGACCAGTCCCTCCT